CATCTGTCTGTCTGACATGTACTTCTGAGGAGCACAAGCTTGTCGAGTGCCACTGTCCTGCTGTCGAGCCGGTGAGTCCCCCTTCGACAGCGCAGTTCTGGTCTGGGCTCCTCCAAATACAGGCCTGCATCACGGCCTGGGTCCCCTTTGTCGCCTGTGCCCGGCTCCCCCGGCGCCTCTCTGGACGGCAGCCGGGGGCGGGGGGGGGCGGGGGGGCGGGGGGGGGGCGCGAGCGCAGCGGGGGGCCGCCGGGCGCCCCCTCCCCTCTCGCTGAGATGGGGGCGCTGGGTGTGAGCGGAGGGAAAGCTGTGCTCGCGCCGCGCCCAGCCGGCCGGGGGCGAACAGAGGCCCCGGGGGGCGGGTTGTTCTTCGAGGCGGAAGCGACGCTCGACAAGCTCTGCCGCGTTGCGCGCGGAGGCGGGACGAGGAGGCGAGGCGGCCGGGAAGGCGGCGAGGAAGGCGGCGAGGAAGGCGGCGAAGGCGCGCGGGGCGAGGGGCGGCGCTGGGGCGGCGGCGGTGGGGGGGCCGCGGGGCCTGCGCGCGGAGTGCCCTTCGGTGCCGGGTGTGGGCGTGTGCTGGGCAGTTCCGAGTGTTTTTACAGGCATCGGAATGTGATTTTATTCACGAATCTATGTTAATTTTAGTTGTATTTATTTTTATCCGATGTGTCGGGGTGATGTTGGTTCATTAGACGGTACGGGTTTCAAGCGTACGGGTCCATGACATGTGACCTGTACCTCGCGCCGTGTGTGCACCTCCCGAGTCAAGCCGCCTCCCAGCCCCGTCTGTTGGGCCCCCGTCCCTCCACTACCCCCACCCTCCTTCAGTTCTGCCAAAGCCATACGTGCGAATCCCACGTCTCTCCACCTCGCGGTGCAACCCACGGGCGCGGTGGGCGCGGAGCGGCCGAGCCTTGCGTTGGGTGCTGCTGCCGGCCGGGCTCCCCACCGCCCTGACGCGCAGACCCACCAACGTGCCGTGTCGCGGCGACCCCGGGCCCCCCGGAGCCGCGGCTCCCGGCCGCGGACAGTCCTGTTCCCCCACGTGCCCGCCACCGAAACACACACAGCCAGCCCAGCGCGCGCAGTGGCCGGGAGCAGTAAATAGAAATGAAAAGCATTTCTCAATGAAAGAGCAGTTTGTGGAAACATAAACTTGAAAGCTTTTTCACATCCAAGGGGCTCAGTTAAATGGCGGCAGGAGGAGCGGGGTATGAAAGGCGACTGCGGCTGCGAAGTGCCAGGCGGTGCGCGGGGCGCGCCCAGTCAGGCCGGAGCGCGGGAGCTGTGGCCCTCGCCCGAGGCTGAGGGCGGCCGGGCTGAACCCTCCGCTGTCCGGAAACACAAACGAATGACGTACAAGAAGGGCCCTTGATGAACGATTGGGAAGTACAGAGGGATTCTGGGGGCGACGTGGCTCTAGAAGCGTCTAGTGGAATCCAGGGGACCAGCATCTGCCGCAGCAAGATGGGCGGCAGCAGGCGCGGCCGCGGCCGCTGTAGGAGTCGCGGGAGGAGTGGCACAGGGCGTCAGGAGCGGGAGGCTCCGCTGAGGAGCAGGCGGTCCATGTCCTCTGCGCGCTGACACCCGTTCTGGGCCTGGGAGGTCCGCCCTCGGTGGGAGGGCCGAGCCGCAGCAGGGGTTCGCCCGCGTCACGCCCGCTCGGGATCTGTGGGGCGCTGGGCGGCTGGGCCCCCTAACCGACCCTTCTCTGCCGCCGGGTCAGGGGGCCACAGTCAGAGCGGGGAGCCCGTGTCACGTCGGGGACGCCCCGCGGCCGATGCTGCCGGTTCGTTTGAGGTCTCGACGGGTCTGCGTGGGAAGCGCGTTTTCCTCGTGACGCTGATGATTGCTGTGTGCTCTGTCCTACTCCTCACCCGCAGGGGACTCCGCGGTTGGACCTGATGGGCGTCCCCGCGCGGGCGTGAGGGCTCGTGGGTGAGACACCGGTGGAGTCACAGAACGACCAGGTTAACTGTTGGTTTTGTTTAAGGCGCAAACAAGTATTTCCCGCAGATGGGAGTCTCTGGTGGTGACTTATAATGGAATGACTGCTGTGCATGCCTTTGCTGTCTTAATGCCACCTTTTCTTTAACCTTGAACGTCGTTGTGCAGAATTATCGATTTCCCCTTAAGGGAGTCATTAAATCTCAGATGACTTAGCGTTGGTTTCTAACACCACCTGTTTCTACACTCACCACGTGAGGACACTGCAGTTTCGCTAGATCGTTAGAGTAACATCAACGACTTCTCAAAAAATTTAAGAATTTTAGTAACTATAATACATGCTTTATCATAACTTTCAATAAATATGTATTTGTTGATATACTAATTATAGATATTTTCAAATAATGAACATACATATTCAATATTGAATATGCTGGCTGGAATGTATCTTGTGAGAATACAATTTTGCAATCATGTAATTTGTATAACGTATTTCTCACATTCTCTTTTTTTTGGAAAGACAAATTTTTCAAAAGCCTGTTTGGTAAGGAGGAGATTTACGTAAGTTAAATCCGCCAAACAGGCCACTGCTCACACGTTATCGGCGCGCAGAACTACTAGAGAGACAAGCAAATGAAAATGAAGCAACATTGTCCATGATAACTTAGTACAAAATGAAGTTAAAACTTTTCACGCATAAGGCACATTGAATTAAACTGTACGCAGAAGTAAAACGGTAACACAACATTAAAAGGAAATTTTTCTTATTAATTGGAAGGCTTTCGGTGTGATTGTCGTCCATAAAGGAGACATCATTGTATCCGAACGTCCCTCATCTCCTACCCAGGAAGTTACGACGGGTTTTCCGTGTGGTCACAGGGGGCAGGCTTCCCGGAGGCGGAGGTCAGGGAGCCGGAGGACTCGTCCACTCTCTCTGGAGTCCTTGGGGCCAGGGTCGGCCGCAGCGAAGCGTGGCAGCGGAGTGTCCCTGCCCACCAGGGCCCCCGCCCCGGCCACCAGAGCGGGGCCAGCGTGGTGCACGGAGGCAGCGGCGTGGGGACGGCTTTCCGCAGGGGGGCCGTCCCCGTCGTCCAGACCTGCGCTGCGTGGGAAACCACCGGCGGTGGCGGCCTGACGTGTGTAAGACTTTTCGCGCTTCTTGATTCATGATGTGACGGGAGATTCTGTCGCTGTTACACCCGCGCCGCCAGAGACGCGTTGCACACACCTAAAACGTGATTTCTCTCCTACTTCTTCCAGAAGACCGAAGCCACCTTCCAGATGCGTGTTTCTGCCCACAGAAACTTCGTTTCAGGCTACACCTACACGCTGGCAGTTCAAATTGTACATAATGAGCTTGTGGCCACATGAAAGGAGAAATGACTCAGCATCACAGGTCTGACGAACCTCCGGCCGCTCCCTTGGGGTAACAGGCTTCCTGGTTTCAGGGTTCTGAGGGTCAAGATGAACTGACAAAGGGCATTTCACTTCTCAAAGTAAACTTTTATTGATGTTCAGAATACACACAGGGAAGACCATAAATCATTACCTGCAGAAATAGATTAATCTATGCAAAATAACTGTACCATTTAACCAGCATCCAGACCGAGACAAAGACCAGCGGCCACAGACGGACTCACGGCCCCTCGGCCGCCGCCCCAGGCAGGGCTCCCGCTGCTCACGAAGCCGCGCGTCTCTTTTATCAGCTTTGCGCTGCACGCCGGTGAATCCGTACCGTGCGCACCACTTTTACACGGTTCTGTTTGCTCAGCATCGTGGTTTTGAGGGTCGTGCCTTTCTTCTGTGTGATGTGTTTCCATTGCGGGATAGTGTTCTCTTGCATGGTCGACCTCCATCTGTTTACCCACTCCCTGTTGGTGGGGAGCTGGGTTGTGTCCGATGTGAACCACTGCGAATACCCCTCCGTGCGTACTTCCGCTCACATCGCTCGGCTAATCGGTGCGCGTCCCAGTCGGGCATCGTCCTGATGATGTCGCACAAGAAGTCGACGTAAAGCTCAGCTTCACGTGTGAGGGCGCCCGGCCCCCACCTGCCCGCGCGCGGCTGGGCTTGGAACGGAGCCTCTAGGCCGCTTGGACGGAGGCGACGTGACGTAGGAGCCGCGGGGGAGCACACGTGTTGGAGGTGCTGATGTCACACTCGGGATGTGCCAGGACAGGTATCCCTCTTCTTCCCACCGCCGGCCGGAGTGGTCAAGAGGAACGGACCCCATGGGAGGGACCCAGGGGTGCACACCTGCCCCGTCCACAGGGACACGTATGATGGGATCTGCGTGTCACTGTGTGGGCCGAGGAGTCCCGTGACGGGCCATCTGCAAGGTCGGGAACCCGGGGAGCCCTGTGTGTCCGTCACTCTGAGGCCAAAGGCCCGAGAGCCGTCGGGGCTGACGTCCAAGGGCAGGAGGAGGTGGCCGTGCCGCTCACACAGAGGGAGCCAAACCGCCCCGTCCCTCGCCTGCCGTTCTGTCCGGGCCCTGCTGGACCCGGCGACACCCGCGGACACGGGGGGGGGGCCTCCCCTCTGCTCCATGGGCCGACCCGCGTGCGGCCCCCTGCAGAAGCCCCTCACAGACGCACCCAGAAATAGTGCTTCCCTGGCTTTCTGGGGACCCCATAGCCCCGCCGAGCTGCCAGAAGACATGTCACCGCACGATCCCCCGTGTCGGCACGGCAGCACACGCACACGCCCACGCCCCACGGCCACAAATGAGGAAGAAAATGCACGTGCAGTAGCAACACTTTAATGTTTATTAAAATTAATTCACGCTTTTTTCACATGAAAGGTATTGATTCAAAAATGCAAGAATTTTAAAGTCAGTCAAATACCAAAGGAAAAGCTTTTGGAGAAAAGATGGGGTAACATTCCAGGTGACTCGGGGGCCCCGGGGGAGGCCTGCGGAGTCTGACCTATTTTCTGGAGATGCTTCAGGGTTATGCTGACTTTTTCAAAGGGGAAGTTGACTGTTCCGTGAAGAATCCTGGAGGCAGGTCCTGGAAGCCTAGGACCCACCAGGCAAGGGTCTCGGGGAGCCTTTCAGTAGAACCCGTACGAACAGAATCTCCTGCAGAAAGACGGGCGGTTGCCACCATATCCGTACACGCCGCAGCCCAGGCCGCCGTAGCCGCAGCCGTAGCCGCAGCCCAGGCCGCCGAGGCCGCAGCTGTAGCCGCAGCCCAGGCCGCCGAGGCCGCAGCCGTAGCCGCAGCCCAGGCCGCCGAGGCCGCAGCCCCCGTAGGCCCAGCTCAGGCCGTTGCAGCCGGAGCCGGAGCCCAGGCCGCCGTAGTAGTTGCTGTAGTAGTTGCCGTAGCAGCTCATGGTTTCAGCAGCGAAGGTGTGGTTGGCAGCAGGGAGTCAGGGCCTGCAGTGTGAGCGGCCCTGCCGCTCTGGTCCTTTTATATGCGCCTCCGTGGTGGGCGGGGCACAGCACAGGGCTGCTCCTGACATATTTCCTGCTAATTTGCCCTGGTGCCCTTCCGGAGTCTTTGTTTTATGGGACAACGGGGCGCGGGCCTCGTCAGCCAGGTGGCTGGGCTGTTGACTCCGCGTGCCTGTGATCCAGCCGCCAGCCTCTAATGAGCTGGCTGCTCCGCTCGCTCCTCGCGGCCCTCACTCGCCCTCTGTGCGTTCAGCTGAGAACACTTCCCTGCTCTCCGATCACGGGCTGGCCGCCAAGATGTTGAGTTTTAAAACTCTGGTCTCACATCTGCTCATGTGATGTGAGGGTCCTCTAGGCAGTGAAAAATCCCCCTCCTCTTTGTGGGGCGTCCTGGTGCTCAGGTGGCCTTTGCCCGTGTGTGTTTTTCACTTCCGTGAGTGTGTGTCCCGCAGGCCTGAGGATGTAGAGCACCGTGTTTCGAAGCTTCACACACACACCGTCGGGGTTTAACAACTGTCCGTGTGCCGCGCGCTCACTTTCCCCCAGGGAGCTCTGCGACCCGGCGGCTCGCCGGCCCTTTAGGGCGCATTCGGGACGGGCGCTGCCCCTTTCCTCCTAAGGACTCAGTGCGTTTTTAAAAAAATCGCACGGTGAGTGTTTTTTAAAAAAAAGCCCATATGTCACTGCGATGCCATAGTCACACGGAAATTAGGACAAGCTTTCTTAAAATCTTCTAATATTTGGTTCACGCTCAGGTTTCCTTGATCGAATCACGAGTATATTTTTATAGGTAACTTTTTCACAGTAATGCCGTTCCAGGAGACGTACTGTTGCTTGACGCTTTTTAGGGCTGTGGCCGTTTTTCGTCCAGTCCTTCTTTCAGGACCTTTGCTTTTCGAGGAAACCGTGTTACCGTCCTGTGGCGTCCGTATACCTTAAACATGGTTCGTGGCTTCCGTGATCCTTTCCGTATGTTGCGGTCTCCCGTGCCGTTTGTGTCTTCATAGGTCAATGTGGAGAGTTCATGTGACCCGGGTCAGGCTTAATTTGGAACGAGAAAAATACTTGGTAGGTATTCTGTGTGCTTTCAGTTTTTAATTTATCATTTTTGCTATTTATAAATACTTTTATTGACTGTATTGGGGCGACGTTAGTTGGTAAAATTAGTAGGTTTCAGTGTACAATTCTACAGCCGATCACCCGTGTATCGTGTGGCGCGTTCACACCCCAGGCCACGCCCCCTTCCGCCACCGTCTCTCCCCCTCACTCTCCTCTGCCCCCCCCGCCCCCCAGTCATCGCCACTGTTGTCTGTGCCTTTGTTGTCTGTGTGTGGTTCGTGTCTGTGTGTGTTTGTTGTCCGTGCCTGTGGTTTTCCCCTCCGCTCAGTCCCTTCGCCGTCTTCTCGCAGCCCCCAAAGCCGCCGCCCTGACAGCCGCCAGCCTGTGCTGTCACCTTCTTTTGTGCCTGAGGGGCCCTCGGCGCCCGGTTGTCCCGTGGGCCACTCCTAGCAATGCTGGGGTGGTTAGTCGGGCCGCGTTGCGGGCTTCCCATCCATTTTTATCTGCCGATTTCTGCGCTCGATAATAGTTACCTAGACCCACTCTGGCCAGAAGTTCCAAAATGCTGACTTTTGCAATGCGACCCTTCCGCCTCAGTGCCACCCCCCCCCCCGTCCCGCCAGGGAGCTTCCACCGCGAAGCAGCAGGGTTCCCTGCGCCTCCGTGTCGCTCTCTCCCGAGGGCGTCTCCCACAGAGACCCTCGGGGGCGCCAAACCGCAGACCACGCTGGCCCCGTGTTTCAGGCCGAGCCGCGGAGAACTGCTCAGGCACCTCCTTCTCGCCGCGTGGGAGGCGAGGTCCTCAGGCCGAAGACTTGGTCACGATGCCTCCGTCCTCACGGCCTGGCCACTCGCCCGTGACAGGAGGGATCCATCCTGTTTTAAACAGTCTCCTCTGTTCTCTGTGAACTGCTCCCTAAGATACATTCACTCTCTTGGGTAAGTCTCCATGGGATTTGGTGAGCATATTGAAGAATATTAGCTTCCTCTACAAAATCAGGCATGAGGTGGGTGGAAGAGGAAAGTTACCTAGAGCCACGTCTATTAACTTAATGGATTGTTTCATGGGAGCAAAAGATTTTCCATCCCAAGATAATGTTACTCACTGATGAATGGCACTGATTAATTGACGGACAACAGAGAGATTTCTCTCCTGTTATAAAGAGACCTGTTCTTTCACTATAACATTTACATTAGTTTTACTGTTTGGTTCCATCTTGTGACCCCTTTCACCCATGCTGCTTGGCGTTTATTTCACATCCCTTTCCATCAACGCACGGCGGTTCCACGTGCGGACTTTGCCGTCTCCTTCCTGGCAGGAGAGCTTGGCCTTTCATGTGTCCCTCCGCCCCCGTGCAATCAAGTCCCCCGACGCCTGCCAGGCGGTGAGGCAGGTGCCGTCTGCGCTGCCGGTGGCGGTTCTGTCCCGTCCTCCTCCCCGCCCCCTGCCCCCCCAGGGCTCCGTATTGTTGGGGGTCCCCCGCAGAGGCGCGCACAGCTGTGAGATGCAGGCGGTGCGGGGGCGCAGGGCAGCGGCCGCGCTGGGAGCCAGCGGCGTGAGCCCTCAGCGTGGACGGGGAGACGTGCCCTGCCTGCAGGAGAATGTGCTCCCGGTTTTTATTTTGAAATTAACCTGTACTTCTCATAATGAACTTGTTTGTTGTTTAAACCGCCCTGGCCGGGCCCAGCGGCGAGCCACAGCGGGGATGTCGCGGGCGTCCGGTCGGCTGGCCCCGCGCGGCCGCGGTGTGCGCACAGCGGTGCCCAGGGACCGCAGCGGACTGAACAGGGAGAGAATTGCAGGGGTGCTCCCCACTGTGTGTAAACGGAACTCCGTCCTGTTCAGTTAGGTGGTTCGAGGCGCACAGGAGTCCACTTCTCTCAGTGGAACCGGCCGGGGCTTCAACACTGAGGAGTTGCCTCCCAGGGCTTCGTGGCCACAGGGCCGCAGGGCGGGGGCTGGGCAGCGCCGGCCCCGCGTGTCCGGCCGGCGACACTGCATCCCCAGCCGTGTCGGATCTCGCCCTCGGCACCCAGGCTGCAGGGTCTGTCGAAGGCCACCCGAGACACCCCGCTGTGCTGCAGCGCGCGCTCCGCCGACACTGAGGAAACAAGGTCTTCCTTCCAATACTTGAGGGCGAGCCACAAATGTCCATGTTTAATTTTAGGATCCCATTTAAAAATTAATCTCAACGTGCAGTCCCTGAGGAGTCTCTTGGCCACGTGCTTCACTCTGAAGGGATGATACCTGCAACACAACGTGTGTTGGTGTTTCGTACCCATGGAGCAGCGATGCTTCCGTAAGTCATTCGGGGAAACGTCTGTAACTTCAGATGAAGGTCGAAATGACACAATGTTAGTGTGTTAAGTCACAATGAGTCTTCAACAGACTCGCGGGGAACTTCCGTTGTTGCGACTCCTTTTCTGGGAGGATCTGGAGGGAAGTTTATCCCACAGAGAAACGCATTCTGACACCTGCAGGGGGTCAGAAACGTGAAATCCAGCTCCGCTCATTCCCAGGAGCAGGGGCTAATTTTCATGCCCGATGAGCTGATCTGGGAACAGGTGACACTTTGCAGCAATTCTCCAAGACAGGCCCGATGCGCACGCGCGCTCTGTGCGCTGCCTTCAGACAGGGGATCCAGAAAGCCGTTTAAGGGGTGCGAAGCGGAGAACCCAAGCCCCGCCAGCCAGAACACGCCCACCGGGCCCGCGCGTGGGGTGGGAGGGCACAGCCGGGCCGGGGGCGCCGAGCGAGGCCACGGGGGCCGGGACCACCCTGCAGGCCTAACCAGCAACGAACGCTGGCCCTCGGGCGGGTGTGCGAGTGCGGCCGGGTCTGCGTGGCCGCAGTGCGTGCAGGTTCGTCAGCGGGAAGTTCCACGAGTGGCCTTGAGCCTGTCGTGCTAAGCGAAGTGCGTCGGACCAAAAGGCCAAGACCTGCGATTTCTCTTGACTGTGGCGACACGTGACCAAGTGAGAAAAACGAACAGGCAAACACTCAGAGGCACCGGCCGCAGTGTGGCGGTTACCGGAGGGGGCGGTGGGGGAAGGGGAGCTAGAACACGGCGCGGGTGCTGATGGGGGAAGCGGTGGCCCTGGGCGGCGGGCGCGTCCCGCAGCGCGCAGGCCGGGTGTCCTGGGAAGGCCCCTTTGAAGCCTGCGCGGTATTAACGGACGCCACCTCAATGAATTTAATTAGAAAAGCAAATTTCACTTAGAAATGACTTGCTCATAGGCTTTGACTTTTCAGCTTATCAAGAAAGGCAACGTTTCTGTCCTGATAAAGCTCTCACACGTGTGTGCAGCAGATGTAACAAAGCAATGGGAAAAAAAGCAGTATTTTCAGTACAGGAGATTTATCGAAAATTAAAGTCTGTCTCACACGGAGGGTGCTGAACTACGGTGTATGCAGAGCACTAATTGAAATGTAGTTACAAGAGAAAGGATTTCTTTAATAAAGCGAGACGTCCCCTATGGCTTTATTGCACCGAGATGGTGGATGGAGAATTTCAGCTCTTCCCTCTTCCCAGGCGGCTGGGGCGAGGGCGTCGCTTTTCGTGAAAAAGAACCCGGGAAGCGGGGTCGCGGAGCACGAAGAGCGGTCCTGCCGTGTTTCCTGGCGCTTCCCAGCGCAGCCCACAGGACCCGTGTCTGCCACAGCGCGGTGGGCAGCCGTGGCCACGCCCACGCCCACGCCGGCCACGGCCGCAGCCCAGGCTCCCGCGGTCGTCGCCAGCAGCCGTGGCGTCAGGAGCTGCAGGCCCAGTTGCCAGTCAGGGAACCGGTGTCCCCCCGTCTGAACGTCACTGCTGACCAGGCCCTTCCTTGCACCTTTGTGGTGGGTGGGACCAGCCACAGGAAGTGCTGAATTCAGAGT